AAACACTTAAAATTGCAATTAACAATTTAATTGGTGCCGGCGGGGATCGAACCCGGGTACTGTGAAATTTACGCCTTGCGTTAACCATCTGAGCTACCACGGCTTAATATACACACACAATATTTAAATATAATTTGTTAACACTAAATCATACACACGTAAGAAAATAACAGAAAGAAAAGTAAGTTTGTCAATAGAATAAACACTTACATATATGGCCTTTGATGCGTTGAAGTAACACAAATGTAGTATTGATAGATCCACTGCGGTCAAACGACCATACACTAACTCCATGACTGCAGTTGCTTGGTCTTATATAGTACCAGTGAGTAATAATTCTAATCTAAAGAATTTCTGCAGTAGAATTGATAGTAACTTTATGCGTCAACAAGCTTATCTCACATTCTGTTGTTTATCTCAACATTCCTTCGTCCTTCCTGTCGTGTCTTGTTCAGTGTATTGATGACTCAAATACGTTTTGTATAACACAAAGAATGCAATTTAATATTTAGAAATCACTATAATTGATCATTCCTATACTAGTCATTGAGTAGATTGGTGCTGTAATAATCTACTAATAGCAGTAATATTATGGATACACTAGATGTACAACAACATCTGAAAAAGATTCACCCCACTCTAGAAAATAATGTTTATGCTGCCAATAAACCCACGTACACCCACGTACCAACGTATATAATATGCAATTTGGATACAGATGATAAACCAGGGTCACATTGGGTAGCTTTATGTATCTATACGAATGACGTCGGTCAATATTTTGATTCATTCGGACGGGCACCTGCACGATATCATCTAGAATTTTTTAAAAGAAATTGTAAAAGATGGAACTGGATTGTTGATAGGATTCAGAATGAGTGGACTTCAGTTTGTGGCGAATATTGCTTAATGCATTTGTTGTATAAGTTTCAGGGATGTTCAATGCATAGTTTTACGAGTATATTTACAGGGAACACATTGTACAACGATATTTTAGTGGATGAGATATTTCGCTCCTATTTTATAGATAATAAGTAATAAGATTTTGTATTTTGTAAATAAAAATTTTAACAAAATTAGGTAATGTGTTTTATTGATGAGTCAGATTAGTGTAGATAGGAACAAAGGAGAACAATAGCACCACGCTGAGGAAGAATAGATAATGACGGTATTCAATGAACAATAGATAAGTAGATAAGAACAATGGAGCGCTAATGACGGTGGAGGCCTTCACCGGATATCAATTAGATAAGAGTTAATTGATCTGCACATCTCCGGAACCGTGCATCCTACGCAAAAATGGACCGCAGATTCGTCTTTTTTTTTAGGATCGTGAGTCGACGAACGTCGTACTTGTACCACTTCTGACTCAGTGCGCCAGAACTGGTACAACGTAACTACTACAGTGCGCCCGGAGAACTCCGTGGAGTGTCATCAGTTAAAAATTTCAACTTAAGATTTCACACTCACTATCAGTTTTTGGATGTTCGACAGTTCTGACTTGCTGCTAAAACTGTTGCCGGATGCGAGGATTACCGTGTCCTTCCCCTTTCTTCGGACCTCGGATAGTCATAATATGCCAGCGCAACTTGTCTACCTCTCCTTCCAGCTCCAGGATCTTCTCATCAGTCCTCATGATGCATCAGTTATATGTTGCCACGTCGAGTCGTCTTAGGTGGCAATCGAACGTCCACCGAAGATTCTTAGCAGCCCCTGCCCCGCCTTTACCATGGTCGCCACCATAGTCAGGAATAGCGGGGCCATCGGGGACTTGGGGCCATTTGTTTGTCGTTACTCATGGGGGATGTTCGCCATAGTTGCCACGCTTGGCAAGCGGGTTGGCGTCCGCAGTTTTTTTATTGTATAATTGCTGTTATCAGGAAGATGCTGCTGCCCATCTCCTGCCTGCGTACCTGTCGCCTCTTACGACACCCACGGGAAGATATGGGGTAGTAGATATTCTCAACCGCCACTACACGGCAAACTGATATATAACCATATGATAATTTATAACGCGGTTACCGCACTTACTCCTCAAATGAAAGGCCGTTTGTTACTCAAATTTATTAGAAATCATGTTATAGCCATCTATCCAAAAAACAGTCTATAGAAAAGAGAAAACAATAAAAAATAAAAAGTTAATTTTAATCCTTTTCTTATTATAATTGAATACAACGGCGGCGGACGAACTCTGAAATAATATTTATTAAATATAATGAAAATGTATTCCATACTTACAATAAAAGTGTACATAAGGGGCATCGATATAAATGACAAGATATGGTCGTACGAACAAAAAATTTTCACGGTTTAAGCATAAAATAAATCAGCGTCATCTCTTAAATACTCATGAACTACCACGAAACCAGTGTTTCACTTACGATTTTAGTTTTACCCTAGAACCTGTAGAAATACTCCCTATATTATCGTAAAATATCTAAATAGCCTTAAATGTTGCACCTTTATTCACCTTAGGGTGGATAATCGGAAACTTGTATGCAAAATATGAAAATATAGAATTTATTAATAACCTGACTATAGCGCTACCTTCATACGGGTATAGATCTTAGCTTATAAGAATATCCACTACCCCATATCGTCCCGTGGTTTTCGTAAGAGTTATACCGTTATAAGGTTACAACCTATCAAAAGTCCACTGCTGAACATAGGCCTCCTCAACTTTTTTTTAAAGAATACGGGTGACAAACGAGCACACAGTCCACCTGATGGTAAGTGGATGCTGTGGCCCATAAACATCTACATTTATATTCAATTAAGAATCAAAATGCAGATGCATTGCCAGCCCTAAGGACTGAGATGGAATGCCTCGTTTCCATTAAAAAGGGTCTCCGGTTCTCTACAGTCATCATACGAAACACAGCAGCCTTAAGTTGCTATTTTACGCTGGTATTCTGTGAGAGCGTGGTCCTACTCCAGTCAAGCCGATCCATTCATGCTGCAACCGCAATATAGCTGCAGCATGGCTCTACCACGTAAAACATCATACTTATAGAAAAGAGGGGAGAGACGTTAAAGGAATATAAATGGAATTGAAAGTAGAACTTTAAGTTTCCATTTATTTGGGCAGAGTTATGTATTGCGTAGTTAAATAGCTGAAGTCAGATATTTATAGTCTGTTCACTAAGGTAGTGTAGCGTACACCCGGAGGCGCACTTATATTTATTATACTTTTATTTATTTTACTATACTTTTATTGTGTTTGTTAAATAAATCTTTTTCTATTCTAAGATAAAACAGTATACCATTTTATTCTTACAGCTATTGCAATAAAATAAAAAGATAAATAATAAACACAATTAACAAAGAACCTACGGCGCGCCGTTTAAAAATGCCATATGGGTGTATGCCGCACACGGCGATCTTTGACGTTGCGACGGCGCCTTTGACAAGATGCCTCATCTTGTCAAAGGCACGTGCCAAGGCGACGCGACACAAAGGCGACCGTATCTAAGCAATCAGAGTATACAAGCAACGGAGTTGTGGCTGGCGGGCTTCGATCAATAATATACATTGATCGAAGCTGGCAAGAGACTGTCGTGTGTTACACCATTTTAAGTAAGTGTTGCTTTTGGTTTCCAAGCTTCATATATTTTGGTGCTATCTTGTAAATATATTCATCACGTTACACTACATGTTTGTGTCCGGAGGGTATTACGAAATACTCGTAGATAGTTGAATTGTAATTGCGCCATGCCGTAGTGCATTAACGCTTTATGCGTTATATATGCTCTCACACTATTCTTGCATTAAATAACAAAATATTGTGTTCGAAAATGATCCTTTTTTAAATAATTTTGAGAGTAATTTAGAGGGATATTATACAATTGTCTGATTAAATCCTCGGATTGCTATATATAAATAATACATATTATGCAACAGCTAAAACAATATTAACTATTAATTGCCTCCTATTTTCTTACAATAACAATGGCATAATATCTTCTTGCTTCATGTTGCCGTAGTACTTTGCAATACCATTTACATGTCCCATTCCTACTACCGCCAACACTCGTGGATTTTGAACTGCCGGTAAACAAAATAAATCTGTATGTAAATAACAGTCTAGCGGGGCAATTAACATCTTATATAACATCTGCCACCTAAGGATTTTTTCACGAGTTGAATTCAACATCCAATAAACATTAGGTATCCTTTAGGACCGTTATGTCGACTTCTCCCAATATTGCCTATAATACCGTTTTCCCACGGCAATATTAACACAATTAATGTGTGAGAAATGTTTTATAATATTTATATATTTTAGTATAATAAACTGGCGTAACGGGAAAATTGAAAATTTTTATCCAAATTTCAACAACTCTTGGGTGGTTTGGTTATTTTCAATAAAACTTTGGTGTAATGCCGAGTGATGGACGTGTTTCTGAAAGCGGAAAACTCGTTCGAATATAACGAACACAAATCGCCTCGTCTGGTGTTGCGAGAAATATGCCAAGCAGAGCATAACTAGTGCGATTCCTGACTTTGCTTTCAAAAACCCGCCTGCGTAACGTAATATTTTCGTAGGTATTTTTCTTTTAACAAATATACCTACGCATACTGATGAAGTGCCGAAAAAACATATATGCCAATATTTTGGGAACCTTGAATTCAACAAGAGTTGTGGTGGTTCAGGAGCTAAAAACTGACTTTCAATATTTCACAGTAATGAGTAATTGGTAAAATATTTAATCGAAAATTTTATTTTAAATATTTATTTAAAGTGCACATTTACTCTCGTTTTCGCCTGAGAAATAAAAAATATTTAGCCGCCAGCATAGAGTGGTAATGTAGCAACCATTGTCCTCTCAGAAATGGGACCAGACCCGTGCCTAGCTGTGGGACGCAAGGGTAATTTTACTTTACGCTTAATTTGACAATGAGAATATAAGAAGTTAATACATATAGCGGTAACTATCGAAATAACACTTAATTTATAATAATATATTTCCATATTCACCAGAGAGATAATACACATTACATTATTTACCAGAACGAACGCATTCCTGTAATGAAAATGCCAGACATCGATCACGTTCATCGACGAATACATGAAAAATCTTTTTAAACGCTGGAACTTCCTTTGTTATCTCGTCAAATTGTGACTGTACAAATTTTTTATCTTTGTATTTCTCTAATTCATATTTACTAGAAACAACAGACATATTGATAATTTTAGTAATGTTAAACAAGTATAAAGAATAAAACAATCTATTAAACATCAACAATCTTACTCTAATGGCTTCGAATTTGTTTTTGAGAGGTGGTAAATAACTTGACCGATTTCAAACATACTTAAGGACTGAAAAGCTCTGGCTATTGTTATTTGTATTGGCCGATCACCAAGAAACAATTTACAACCAGGAATTTTTTTCATCTGAAAATCATAATTTCTAAAGAAGACATATATTTTCATAAATAATTGTATTGCCTATCTAAATAATCAGATAATTTCATTGCTTTCTGATATTTATTTATAAGCTTGCCTCTTGATATGCTCGTCTAAATTCGCCTCCCGGAGCAACTCCTAATTCTTTAGCGATATCAGCGTATGTTTTCAACAACATTGCATGTAACATACCAGAAGTTAAGCCTTTGTGTCCTTTGACTGCTTCTCTAATAATAAAAACAAGATAATTATTACGTAATATTGTCTAAAGTAACTTTAACGCAATAACACTTACTTAAACTTTTGAGAATCAAAATTTTTTGCTTCTTCTAAAAATTTCTTTTCATCCAGCTCCAAAAGTGACACTCTTTGTCTACATAGCTCCACAAGAATTGCGTTTGGATTAAGAAGGTGAACTATCTACAAAATAATCAATACATAAAATTCTGACATGTAAATTATTAAGTTGTTAAATAAATAGCTTTGTAATTAATAATATACATTTTTTAGAATAGTTTTTTCATTTACATTAAGACAAATAGAAAAAGAAGAGTAGGTATTTAAAGCCCTGTTCAAAAATATAATTGATGGTCTGCACAGTACATCTGATGAAAAAGATTACTATGTTAAGGCTCGATGACACTGGGCTAGTTTACAAACTATAACCTACCGAGTTCGCGAGCAGCTTGTAAGATTTTTTACAATCTCCTTTTGAGTATCTGATCGTAAAAAAGCTGCTTGAAAAATATAAAGCCAGGCTACTTATTAGGTAGCACTATAGTCGGATAAGTTATTTTTTTTTATCCGACTTTAGTGCTACCTACTACATAAGTATATAAAAATTATGTATGTATTAAGTACTGACGTACCTTGATAGCTTAGCTTTATCTAAATTGTAAGTACGTGAGTATTTTCTACCTACCTAAACATGTAACAGATATGTTATTAGTACACGTGGCTACATAATTATCAAACTACATTTTCCAGTATAAGCTGATCTCAAATTTTAAACACATTACGTACAATGAGAGGTCAGCTTATACTGGAAATTTCCTCTTATAGTGGAAGGATCTGCCCATTGTTGGTTTAGTAGTAAGCTTGAGTTTTATAGTTTTCGCCGTGTATGTATGTAATGTGACAGCCGTTTATTATGTTGGTAGTAGGTCTATGCAAGTACCTACATATACATACCTATATAAGAAATTTTGCAAACCGATTCTAAACCACTGCATAAATTCTACTGCTACAAAAAACTAGTCAAGCGCGAATCACCATTGCACTGAAGTTCTGTAGGTACATTGGCTTGGTATATCGTTGCCAGGCGTCCGGATAAAGCTGGACACAGTCAGGCTTTTTGATTGCGTGTCCGGCCAAATTAGACGGTGTCCGGCCTGGCCGGCTTTTGTCAGGCTTTTTATATTTGACAATTTTTTTACATTTTTCATGTACACTTAAATATATACTTTTGCAATTATTGAAATTAATATTGTAATAAATATTGAATGATTAATAATAAAGAACACTGATTCATTCAATTTTAATATAAGATTTTATGGTAAATGAGCATTGTTTTACTTTAAAATATATATTATCGTGTTATACTAAGACTGAATAATTAAGGGTGTCCAGGGCCTTTTTACCAAAATGTCCGGCTAAGCTGCATGGTCTGTCCGGCTTTTCGGTTTCCTCTTTTTTGACCGACTGGCTGTGATTCTAAGATTTTAAATTGCTCAAGATTTCTGCTCTACCTCTCATTTAATAGTGTTCTTTTGTCAAAGCTGTCCAAGGAAACTTCTGTCAGCCATTCCTTCCGTCTCTGCATAGGGAGGACAACCAATTGGCCGATGCCGCAAAGGAAGAAAGCCGATCTTTAGGTTCTCTTTTTGCGTCCAACTGGACACCAGATGACGGGTACACACCGCCAACCATCTCGCGGTATGCAAGCCGAATGTGCGGTTAACACAGCGCTCAGTGCGCAAAGTACTCTTTATTCTGAACATCAACAAGTAGAGTAGGCCTGATGGGAGTCCCTCCGCCTGTTGTTAACTTGTGCTTCGGAGTAAGCACCGGTTCTAACGGGTCTTTTCCGGTACTTCAACTCCCTAGGCGTTGACCCGAAGTCATGGAAGACAACTTTAGTGCACCTGATCACTTAATAGGCGACCGTTCAGATCCGTCTAACTCCAGGCCTATCGCTAGCACCTTCCTGTAGTCCATAATAATGGAATCCATTATATTGAGGTACCTTGAGAACCACCAAATGATTAGTGACCGCCAATGCGGTATCCGTCGGGATCGCTCAGTGATCTTCTAATTTACCTGATTCATAGATAGAGCGGTGGCAATAGACTGTTTAAACGGAAACATATCATATCTGAGAAAAAAATCCGCACTTCACGATCACACAGTACTATTTCTATAGTACTTTGTGATAAGTATATTACCTTTACAGGAAGCCACTTTTAATCTGATTGACGGTCGCCCGAGGCCTAGGTTCTGTAAATTGGCGTATGCGTTGCCGTAGACGAGTGCACAACCGTGAATCGTGTTCTTAGTAGGTTGGTTCAGTGTACCACTGCACTGGTACACTGAACCAACCTACTAACCTCATAGATATCTTCATTCATCCTCAATTTAGAATTAAAATGCAGATGCGTTGTCACCCGTGAGGACTACAATGGAATGCCTCGTTCCCAGTAAAAAGAGTCGCCGGTTCTCTACACTCACCATACGAAACACAGCAGCACTAAGCTACTATTTTACGCTGTTAAAATAGTAGCTTAGTGCTGTTGTTGCTGCTAATGTGTTCATTTGCACGTGAATTCGACTTTGACGTTTCTACACGAATAAACAATACACTAAGTAAAAGGTGCTTTCTTAGTGAAAATATATAATAATATTGTTAGTCGTCGTTGGTGTTTTGATAATAACATTAAATTTCCCTTACTTCAGAAACTTCTTCTATAGACTTTTTACTAAAATGTACTGTACCAAGAACCACAATTTTTGCCGCTTGGTCATTTTGTAACAAAATTGCAGAAGAAGGTAACTTAAAATCAACAGTGTTATTACAAAATTTCTTCACGACAGGACCAGCTGTAAATTCACAATCATGAGGGTTACCCAGATATAAACCCACATAAAATCAAGAACTTAAAAAATATATTACGCTTATATAGTTGACGGTTCAAAATTGCGACTTCATTAATATTTCTATGTGAAAAGAACCCGAAAATTTTACATGTTTGATATCTCATGTTAATTTATACATTGTAACATCTTAATACTGAAAATTTTGAAATGTAAATGTAAGTCCTTATTGTTGCATGTCTGTCTAATCAGTGTAATCCATTTTGACTATTCATGATTGTCATTTTGTATTTATTCTATTTCGTTATCGTCTGTAGTTAGAGCCAGTATCTTCGAATGTGCGCATACTACAACCATAGAATACTATATTACAACCAAAGACGTTTAAATATTATTGATAGGTGTCTTAGTCACATCGTTTTTCGTTTCATTTCCTAAATTAAAATTAAAATTTCGAAGAAAACATGCCCCGTTGTGCATTAAGGTATTGTAAGTCCGGATATGGAGCAAAAAACTGAACGTGATTTCAGTTTATTTATCACAGGTACAATACAATGTATGATATGTATGATTGTTCTAGAACATTTATCATTATTGTAATAAGCACCTTCTATTATTCAGTAACGTCACTATTTATTTACCAAATGAGTTAGTGGTTGACGACGTTTATCTATTAGTGTTATCGATACGAATATTATGCAAGATGCCGCTTTAATCATCTACGATATTTAAGGCAATGAAACAGTAAGCGATACTATACCCATACCAATAAAGGAATCGGGTGGGCCTGTGTAGGAGCACACGGCCGTTGGTTTTAACGGGGAACTTCTATGTCATCTAGTACAATCAATAGGTACAACTAGTCAACAAGATAGCCTTCGTTTTGAATATTTTAATACAATACTTTTGGGGGACCACCTTTTTTTTTAAAAAAAAATCTTAGGTTTGCTTTTTTGGTTAAAAGTTGTGTTTCTTTCCCCTCAAAAAAAACAAAAACCCACAGTTGTTTTTTTGTTTCTTCCTAATCCATTCCTACAATCTCTTTTTCTCTTATTTTAATTATATTTGTTTTAAATATTTTAATACAATACTAGTTTTAAATATTTTAATACAATACTAGAACACCAGGAAAATCGCAGGTGTGTTGCCGGCCTTTTAAAAAGGAGTAAGCTCGTTTCTTGAAGGTCCCTAAGTTGTAGTAAAAATAGCTGATAGTAAATGATTCCCAAAATTATTCGTGCGAGAAAGGTACCTCTCAACAAATCGCACGGTAGTGGACCGCCAAGCATCCAAATGTTCTTTTTATGAAATATTTCTGTAAAGTGTAAGTTTTTAAAACGTGGGTCTAAGATTGTGGATACGGCTAAAATATGATTATTTTATATCTGTCCGAATCTGTTCAATTTACTGATACAACCCCATTCATTCTATCGGTAAATTCTAGTACCGCATTTCTGGATCATAATTAATTGGGAATACTGATACAATCCGATTTGTTCCACAAAATCCTATGAATCAGTTTTTTTTTCAACCTGTAAGTATTTGGAATTGCTGTTTCAAAAACACAATAGTTTATCATACCTTCCAATAAAATATCGTATTTTATTTGGATCTATCAGGCTTTTCCACAGGGTATTTATTTTCGTAAAAACATACCCAATCGATAACAATCTTATCAGTTATTTGATTTTACTAACCTCTGAGTATGTACTTTTAAATGTTTTTCTTTTCTAAGTTAGAACTATTATCGCTAGACTTCATAACTTTAAATTTCGCTTAATTTTGATTAACTTTCCTAAAATATTTCCTCACATCACTTTGTCCTCCGCCAGGACGAGGCATTCTAAAGAAGTAAATCAAACGGGCACCTGAGTCAGCAATTGAAGAGAACGAACTTAACACCAATCAATCAATATTACTATTAAATAATAACAAATTTTGAATTTTTTTAACAAAAATAGTCTACTCTATTATTTATGACTGATAGGTAGACTTCACTTAAACAACATAAATAGACAAATGAAACACATTTAAATCCAAATATTTTGCGTTATGATTCCATTATATATTATTGTTCATTCGTCAAAACAACGAGATATTGCTACCAAATGTACAAAATATATTTACCTGGACCCACATGCATTATTTAAACTATAATAAGGTTTTCCCCGAAATCCACTCCATCGAGAGGGACGACACCATACGTCGGAAAAAAAAGTATTATCTACAACTCATGGAGGTTAAAGAACAGGAAAACGATCACTACGTACTAAAGCATAGCCCGCCTGTCCTTGAAAATTTGTGGAAATTATAGCGGCGCTACCGTCGGTGAGTAGTGGCTGCGAAGGTAGCTGTTTATGAGTACAAGTAGATGAAGTTAGTTGAATAATGTACAAATTTTCTTCGTGGCAGTGGTGAGAAAATTTTCATGCTCCGTAATTTTTTTTAATTTTTGACAAAAAGAAACATTAAAAAATAGAGAAATATTTTATTGTGCGTCGATGTGCAAGTGGTTTAGCATCTGATCGGAAAAATAGACTGAAAATGACTTTTATTGAGCGAATTTAGCGATCGCAGCGCCTCACTTATGGTGTCCATATTTCTGGGACACTATTTTCTACGTCGATCGTTCTCCTGTTCTCTAACCTCCATGCTATGGAGTGTAAAAGTAAGGAGTACCAACTCCCATAGTAGAATAGTTGAAAAAGCGGTCATCTGTAAGCAGTAAATAACAGCTCAAAACTCTTCACAACAGCGCTGGAGTAGCTACTGGGATGAAATTAACTTAGCAGTTGTCGACGGTTTAAGTGTGCTGCTAAACTGCTCAGTAGCTCTAAAATCTAAAATAATTTTATTTAGTAAATATAACCTCGAAAAAGTCGTCAATCCCACTAATATTTTTCGGTGCGTTCTTTAAAATTTACCCCGTAGCTATAGCGGCGCCACCCTTATTTAACAGTTTTCTATGGAGACTTTTTAACACAGTCTGTACTCCTTACTTCTACACTCCATACTCCATGCTACAACTTTTATCTGACAGTTTAGTGAAGAGACAATAGTATCGAGTAACTAAGAAAGTATCGACACTTAGTAAAATACTCTATTAAAAGTATCAAGTACAAAAATACTAGGTATCGACCTAAAAATATTGATAATGATTTGATTGAGTGTTGATAATAGCAAGAGCGATAGACACAACTGCTTGCTCTGCATATACACCTGTAGATATTTGATAGGTCTAATACTATTTAAAATCACAAAAAAGCAACTGCATAGTATACGAACACTAAGGTTTGTATTTAGAGGGGCGTCTCTATGAGACCTCGCACCACCTAAAAATTCTATATCTACCACTGCCATGTTCTCTATTGTTTTTTTTACAGATTTAAAAAAAAACTAGGAAACTCCTTAAATTACTAAGAGTCTTTTACTATTGTATATATTTTATAAAATTAATTTTTAACTGTTAGGAGAAAGTTAGTTTTCTTGTTTCTTAACGCTTCTTCACACAAATTCTCCTCGCTTGTTGCCGCGATGGCGTAGCTTTTGACTACTATGTTGTTCTTGATTAGGTGGTATTTAGCCATAGTTTCCGCGCTTGGCAGTGCGGCATTGCAATTAGTTTGATGATCATGAGGTCCTGGGTTCAAATCCTGGGTTTGGCAAAAATCACTTATTGGGAATTTTTCAATAGCAACCTGGAGTCAGGAAGTTGGCGGTTTTTCACCCACGTGTCTCGGAAAGCACGTAAAACCGTAGGTCCTGACTGTGGAGACTTCCTTATCGTCTCATCGGACTTTGAGAGTAAGGGATACACACGGACTCTATAATCCTGCTCTGCGCAGATTCATCAGTCATCGTTTAGACTGGTCACCGTGACTGAAATTCGGCCTGGTAATCAATTATCAATTTTTAATAAAAATCAAAATTTGTCTCTCTTGATTGTCTAGTTTGGTCGTTCGGGCAGAACACGGCCTTAACCTTCGGCAGGCAACACTTTTTTTGCATACACAAATGGCAACAGGGGTGACGTATCACCCCATCTTTTTTAAATTCAAATTAAACTGAAATATTTGAGAGAACCGAAATTAGTTATTATGAAATCAATCACTAATATAATTAGGACTATGAAAATAGTGTTTATTACAGCACCGATAATTTGGTATTATTTTTCTTTTGCATTAAATGCAGATCAAGCAAATATCTTTGCGATGTTCAGAGCAAGCGGGCTGAAGGTATTTTTGCCAAAAGTTTTTAAATTTTTGACCCGTTTTCTTGGAGACTGTGCACATCTTGCTTGTTTCTGTAACTTTGCACGGGGCTTACCTTCAGGGGGGTCCTGGGTTATATTTCGAATATCACACAAAGTGGCTCCTAATTCTCGCGGCAAATTTGTACTCAAACGAGGGATCGATCATGTGTGGTTGCGCCAATTGTAAACCTAATTTATTTAAACAACTGCTTCGGAACATGTTGGCAGTAGTGTTCTAATGTTTAGCGTCAATATAAAGCAACATAGAATGGACACCAGCCTGATCCAGCATACCATAGAATTATCGATGCAGCCTACGTCTGGTATTGCTAGCCGAACTATACGTATACACTATTTTGTTGAAAGAATCGACTCTACATACAAAGTCACAAACCTTTTCTTCAAATTTCTCGCAGACCAGCAACGGAGACCATTCTAAATGAGGTGTCAAAGGTTCCCAATCCTATCACCACTGTGTTAATCTTAAACTGTATATGTTGACTTTGGTATAATATCGTACTGCTGTCCTTACGTATCAAAAGCGGAGTGCAACGATGGGTCCAGGCCTCACTGCTTCCAATATGAGTTTTTATTCAATAACTTATAACCAAATTTCCTGTCACGCCTTCTTTCTAGATCATTCGCCACAGAGTAATTTTGTAGTCATACACTAAAGAAAGTCGTCCCGGCTTTTATAGTAGGGAAAAAAAACACAATACCTACATAATTTTATGTAATATTTATTTCTGAAAGACATGTTCATGTTAACAACGTGAGACGATTCCAAAAAACCAACTACCTTAATAATTGAAACAGAAACAATAATTTACAATACTAATATATTTCTGATTTCTATTTCACTAATAAACCTATTACGATCAGGAATTAAAAATATGAGACTTCTTAAAAATTACTTGTCATTTTACTTTTCCAACGACAAAATAAAAATGCATTTATAAACCATACTTCTCCTCCTACTATGCATTCATAAGATTCTTCTAACGCTGTGATTTACTTTAAATCAAAATCTTATATAATATACGGAAATTATTGCAAATTTAAAACGATTATTAATAATTGAAAGAAAAATCAAGGCAGGCAACTTTAATTATCACAGTCCCGAAATAACATTATGACGTCAAAACATAAAAACAAATGAATGCACGAAAATTACAAAAAGTTTAGAAATTTTAAATTTTAAATTATGTAAATAGAATTATTATCATTTTAGTTAATTCTAAATTTAATTTATTATGTATAAATTTAACTACAATATATTCAACATTTTTAATTATAATAGCAATTTCAATTTTTAATATTTACGTTTAAAGCGAGTCATAGAATACGCAACTACGATATTTTATCTGCGTTTAACACTAGAGTGCACGCACGCTCTACTATGGTAGAACACACTCACTCATTTTGGCGCCATTCATTCATTTTTACTCCTGAGCTCCCCGCGCTCCTTGTTAAGCCTCGTCGACAAAATCACGGAAAGGATTAGTACGGCGCACACCTGCAGCGTAAGCGCATTTTTCCGTAAAAGTTCAGCTTCTACCATTGTAGTACGTGCGAGTATTGACGTAATAAAACTTAATGTAAGTAAATTTATTATTTTGTGACTTTTTTACTTTACAATGTATTAAATTTGAATGTTTATTTTTTGACAATGGAACAATAACTATACTGTTTGCAGTTCAGCATGTTAGTGTGTATTTAATAATTTTACTTTGTTTCAGCGAAATAAATGGATCCTCACTTAGAATCTCGCTTGAGCCAGTGGTTGCATGAAGAACAAGATGATGAATAAGTGATTCAAAGTGAATCTGATGATGGGGAAAAAGGAGTACAACCAATGGAACAGGAAGACCTGGTACAGGAAGCCGTAAACGAAAACCATGCGTCATCGTCTGAAGATGATATGCCTCTTTCTGAACTCGCTCAGAACAATACACGAGACGATGTTTTTGTATCTAGAAATGGAACACGGGTGGAGTAAAACATGTGCTGCAGCAACACGGGTAAGATCTCAAAACATCCGGTTTAGACCTCCAGGTCCAAAGGGTGCTTTTTTTTATAGAATAGGGTGACAAACGAGCACACAGGCCCATAGACATCTACATCTATCCTCCATTAAAAATCAAAATGCAGATGGGTTGTCACCCGTGAGGACTGAGATGGAATGCCTCGTTTCCAGTAAAAAGGGTCTCCGGTTCTCTACACTCACCATACGAAATACAGCAGCATTAAGCTACTATTTCACGCTGGTATTCTGTGGTCGACCCATTCGTGCTATAACTATACTACTAATATAACTGCAGCATGGCTCTACCACGTACTTCTCAGTACGTACCCACGTACGTGGGTGCTGCAAGAAACGCTGAAACGCCATTATCTTGTTTCGATCTATTTTTTGATGCGAGTGTTTTCGATATCCTTGTTACTTGCAAAACAAATCTGTCGCATTACTTTCTACAATGCACTACGACGATGCTATAGATCCAGAAACCAATGATGACCGTAAACCGGAAATAATCACTTGTACCGTACTAATTGTGGCGTGGATATTCTCGACAAAATGTGTAAGCAGTACAGCGTTTTGCAAAACTCCCGACGATGGCCGCTAACACTTGTTTTCAATTATTTGAATATAGCTGCAATAAATGCCTTGATTATCCATCAACTAAATAAAGGCCAGGAAAAGATTGTGAGACGCAATTTCCTCTATGATCTTTCGTACGAGCTGGTAAAACCCCTCATGGCAAGAAGATCAACATTTGAAAACCTCCCCAGAGAATTAAAAAATAAAACAAAATGGCTTTTGGGGCATACAGATGAGGAGCCTCGCAATGAACCTCAAAGAATGGGAAGAGTAGGCAAATGTTGCCTGTATTCTCGAGCCCGAAATCGGTCCACGATAAAGTGGTGTAAACGACGTGCCAGGTGGATTTGTCCTGATCACCAAGTTGTGGTCTGTATCGAATGCGAGGATGGCGACCAATAAGACAGTCACCTATTATTAGAAGTTTTTTTTTGAGCTGATCTCAAACATGCGAAAAATGTTGATTATTTTGTTGCTCTCTTAAAATTTTTAGTTATTCTATTACTCAGATTTTTTGCAATAACTGTGTGCAATCATAAATAAAGAACCAATATTATGCAGATTTATCATTTTAAAACCACCCGCTTTTTAAATATTTACAATATTGTTTTCTACCAGGGTAGAGCATGCGAGCATCCATGTAAAAAAGGGGGCGCGTGCACTGTAGTGTTAAAAACCTAACTAGGTATAGGTCACGCCAGGAGTCATGAAACTGCGTAGAAGCGATAAACAGGTGTACGGTGCGGTATCAGGTACGGGGAAGCGAAACCATAGCAACGGGCGACGCGGTACCCCGCGTAGTGTCACCTTGTTGTTTTTGCACTTTTAAAACTATTGTTGTGTTTGACGTGTATTGTTTTATGAAGGACGGAAATAGTGTATTGAAAAATTATTATTAATAAAACTAGTAGCTAGAGCTACCAAAACTTGTGTCTACTGTTTGGAGAATCGATAAGGAAGCAAGTCAGTCTGATTTGTTAACCGTGTTTAGAACGCCTGGGAAAAAAAGAAGCCGGACTTTTCCCATAACAGGTATAGATGATTTTGACCAAGGCGTTATTAAAAGAATAATTCATAATCTTTCATCATCATCATTACAGCCCTTCACAAGTCCACTGCTGAACATAGGCCTCCCCCAAGTAACGCCACAAAGCACGGTCCTGAGCCACCTGCATCCATCGACTTCCTGCATGTCTGATCAGGTCGTCACTCCATCTAGTGGGGGGTCGCCCTACACTACGCCTACCGGTACGAGGCTGCCACTCGAGAACCTTTCTTCCCCATCGGTTATCGGTTCTTCGAGCTATATGGCCGGCCCATTGCCACTTCAACTTACTGATCCGTTGGGCTATGTCGGTCACTCTGGTTTTACTGCGGATATCCTCATTTCTGAGTCTATCACGCAGAGAAACTCCGAGCATAGCCCTCTCCATAGCTCGCTGAGCGACCTTGAGCGTCCTCATACGGCCAGCAGTGAAGGACCACGTCTCAGCTCCGTAAGTCATCACTGGCAACACGCATAATCTTTATTTCACCAATAAAGAAATTCCTATATACGATATAGGAATTTCCGCAGATACGATAAAACACAAAATTATGCATTCACTCGAAGCGAAAGCGAATTTAATCGCAATTTTTCAGCGATCATTCTGTATTTATCGGCAGGTGAAATCGTTTGCCATATTTGATATAGCAGATATTCAAAAATTATCTGCGCATTATGTGTTAGTTTGCTGAATCTCATAGAGCAATATTGAAAAATATGCGCGCAGATTTATCGTATTTGCGTAGTGTGTGACACGCTTTAATGTTTCACAAAATCATCGACAGCCAGTAGGTACTTGCACTTAACATTCATCGTTAGTCTCGACTAATAAAATCACCATTAAAACAACAACAATAACACTGAAAATAAATGCACTAAGCAATTAAAATATTCAAGATGAGCAACAATTTTTTTATCTGCCCGTAAAAGTCCCATGGGCCTCTCCGATACATCTTATAAATGTTTCCAGTCGAAAGAAGTAGGTACCGTGCTGAGATAACTAAACCAACGTCGCCAATCGTCAAAAATCGCCGGAAAACAGTTTTGATTGTAACATAATACGTAAGGAATAAGAATGAGAATTTGTCAATCGTGCAAAAGAAAACTGTTAGTTAAATATTTTACTATTACTATGTAGGTACAAAATATAGGTACATAATATTATGAATCATAACACTTTAACGTAACCTTGACATTTTTCAGATTTCTTTTAATTGCCTATACTACCAAAATGTTTTGGCCTCCTGCCTAAATACTTTGTTAAATCTATATTTTATGCAATTAATTCAAGTCATAAAAATATTTCACCGAATTGGTAATAAAAATTAATGTTGAGTTTAGTTTTAGATTATTTATGATCGAATTAAGACAAGCAAAACCTCGTGTTAAAGCATATTTGAAAACTCATTCTACAATGTCTCCACATGATCTGAAAACTAGAGGGTTCTAGAGGATCAATTTAAAAATCCTACACTTTTAGAAAACTATCCTAAATCACATGTTAATAGTAGAACAATAAAGGCACTCTCTGGGCCCAATTTCTGAATTCGGGAGACTTGCCCAGGTGGGAGAGTCTTTCAAAATTGTATCTAAATTAGCGCGAACGGAACGTAAACGATGTCAAATTATTAGAAATAAGTTAATGAAGAAGTTTATTCTTGTAGTTTTGTTTATTTTAGAACATTTTATTACAATTGTTAAGAAAATTTGTATTTTTTAAAAGTTTTCATTGCTGGGAGTTCTAAAATCAAGTGAATTATTGTATAAGATAACTTAATAAAGCTATGATTTAAGCTGAAAATTATTTTTCTTTTCCCAAAAATAGTATGGTCAACTCTCCCCATACCCCGATACAAGAGTCCTTACTGGTGAGGAGAATTGACTCATCAAAAAAGTGAAATAAGTATTATATGCTCGGATATAATATATGAAATACTTAATCAAATGCTCATTCTAATGTATTTTTAAACTACTTTATATCAATAAAGACTACAAAAAATTTGACGTTATGAATGACGTGGCGTAAATTGACGTTCGAGTTCTCCTTTATAAGTCATAACCATTTAATATTTTCCGATTATAATATGCAAGGCATGTTGTTGAAATAGTTTCTTAATCGGCTATATTTATATTAAGATCCTATATTTCCAAATATTAAGCAAAAACGTTTGAAATAAAGTAACTTTTTGTCTACCGAATATCGCAGCAAGGTTACTCTGTGCTGGACAAATATGCTTGCGACGAAGAAGTGAGCGTTAAAAGCCGTTTAAAATCGGAAATACAATGATTGAATAATTAGAAACAAATTTTATTTGCAAATTGACGATCCCTCTTTATTTAGTTAAGAATTTAACTACCCAATTCAACACATTCTATTATTCTTATCAGATTTTTCTAATAACTAAAAATGTCCAAATAAAGTAATATTTTTTTATTAATTAATTGTTGTTATTTCCAATATAACTAGTAACTAATAACTAGTAACTAACTATAATTATCGACCTTGTTGCTGACAGTACAGGCTAATTAACCAGCCATTTCTATTCCCATTCTATATCCACAGTGTTACACACTTTTGTGTGAAGCTTAATAATAAATATAAAGACATAATGAATGAGCCTAAAAACATACATATTTTCATTGATTACAGGCATTACACCAAGATATCTTTAGAAATATAAAACAACTGAAAAAAGAATTAAGTTGTATTTTAACTAAAAATACTATATTATGCCAATATAAAAACAATTTATATATTAGACCAACTAGGTACATACTAATAACAATTTTATT